CTTGTATTTATCCATTCGAGGGTAAAGTCTTCGCCGTTGTCTTACTCTCGAGAATATCAATGGATCTCTTTGTCCATTACATAGCGCTTCCACTTCAGTGATAGTCAAGTAGAAGAATGTGTCCACATTTGGGATTAGACCTTCGTTAACCATTTGTTGAGCCAAATACCAAAAGCCTTCTCTAAGTTTGTTTGTCATCCAAATCATGAAATACTTGGAGAGCTCTCGATATCCAATCCCTCGTTGAGCCCACGGAAGTAATGCATGTTTTATCAATAATTTCTTTAAAGGATTCAATGGTGTCTTTAATTCATCGATCACTTTATGGACAGATTTTTCAATTTTTTCTTCAAATTGTGATTCATTTCCCGATAGTATTGTCTATAATTACAAACAAAAGAATAAATAACAGTAATAATAAATATGATTATCTAATAATTATATATACTTTAATAGTTTTAATACAAGGCATTGGATTGCCTTTCCATGGCTTATACATGGGATCCACTTCTCGATACCCTCTATGTCCGTGTCTTTCAATAAAGTATCTAAACTTTTGTGAGGACTCATCGCTTCCAGTGGTCAACACTTGAAGCGCTTCCTCATCACTCAATTGTCGGAACCATTGCTTATCTTTAATAGACTTTGCGATTTCACTCAACATTTTGGGCACTTCAGCACTGATTACATTTGTTGCCGAAGAGATCATCAAATTATAATCCGATTCCATATACGAATCATTTGCTATTAACACAATTTACACGATTTGTAAATTAGATAATTTGTAAATTAAATAACATATTGAACATGGTTAATCACTCACTGGAAGCGCTCTGGAGAATGGCCTTTAAAATAGCATTTTTAATACCCGATCCCATAGAGACGGCGCCGTGATATTTGAGGCCCTCACTTGATATGAAGCATATGTTATGTATAATTGTGTCAAAAATATGTTTAACACTATTTTGTCGCTTCAATATCTCCACCAAATCGTATCGCATTTTTTCCATTATATTCTCTTTGGTTTTAATCAAATTTTTTGGTCCAAAAAGTAGCGAATAAATTACATACGAAAACATTCGCACGTTTGTAATAAGAGATGGCTTTATAGCCTCCGATTTCTTCATCCGAAACATATGTAAAACGTCTTTGTCGTCGATTTGATGGCCAAACATCGCTAATACCGCAGTTTGAGATTGTTTTGAATCCGGGTAACCCGCAAAAAAGTTCATTGCACCCTGATCAAAACATATACAAAAATGATTTACCATATTATAACTTTGTTAAATTAAATACATACACTTGTTAAATTAAACATGAGTTGATTGTATTGAATGCCCATTACTTCAAAAAATGGGTTGTAATCTTCAACAATATTTGTGCGGTTTCTTAACCCTTCGCGCTATAAATATGAAAATAAATACATTTATAATTATTGTCGTAATATTATAATTATTAGCATTTCCTTACAAAAAAATTTGATTTATTGGCCAAAAATCCCTGCAAACAATTCCAAGACGAGGCTCCGGGAAAGTTCTCACCCCAATGGGCGCGCGAATAGATTTCAAACTCTGTCGGATGTGAAGAATCCAATTCATGCATAATCTCGTAATCGGTGTAAGAATTGTCTATGCCTTCTTGTCCGGGCGGTTGCGTCCCGTGTAGACGTCTAGGCGCCACAGAAACCATAACATGTTGGTTCTGTGCACCCGAACGAGTGCTCTCAGGTCCTCCCGAATCTCGACTGAAGCATAAATATTTGGCCCCCTTTTAGACCCCATTCTATATCTCTTGCGTTTCCGTAATGTCTGTGAATCTGAAAACAAGCAAAAAAATTGCTACTACAATAATTATTATAAACAATTAGTACCTGAAGTCCAATATCTCCCAATTGTAGCAAATCTTCATCACTAATACAGCAATTGTTGTTATCGATGACCTCTTCCTCAACAGTGCCTCCATTTTCTAATAGTCTGATTAAAGTCTTCTTCTTTCCGATGACTTTGGATTCAATGGCAATAATATGTCTTCGTTTGGACAAAGAGTTGGA